CATTTCCACTAGTTCAGAATTTGGCCCGTGTATAGACAAATCCAGCACGTTCGGAGGTCCCCCCTCCCCCAAGAAATGACCAGTATGTTCTTGTGTTCTTACAAAAACGCTGGCCTGCCTGAAGACATAAGCAGTTAAAGAGGCCCATCTGTGCATACCATTCAAGTCAGTGGAGTTACTTCCATGCCTGAAGTTAAGCACAGTCGCTCTGCTTGGGCTAGCATGCTGACAGATCTAGAAGTATTTCTCAGTTTCTTTTTGCAGAGAGGACCAAGAAAGCACCAAAAGTCTTTGTTCCACTAAACTGACATACGTCTGTCCAAGAAAGTAGTTGCACTTTGCATGCGTTGAATTTATCTGAGGCCCTTCCGGACCACTTACCTAAGAAAAACACATTCTAGCCTGACTGATCATAGTGGCATAGCTTCAACAGCAATTAGTTCCGCTGATAGCGTATCTGAACAGCTGCCAGAGGTATTGACCAGGGAAAAAGCTGTTTGGAATAGTGACATCTGAAACTATTGGTTTTAAAGCAGCCAGAAATATAGCTATTGATTGACTGAAGGGGATTTTTCTGGCCTTTAAGAGTACAATTTTGCTTTCTTAACTCAGCAGGACACTGTGCTGTGGACTTTGAGAACAATCTTTAAAGAAAAGTTTTAAGGAAAAAAGAACGCAGCAGGGGTAATGGGACACCTTTGGAGAAGATGATGGGCGAGTATAGGAGGCCAGAGCTATTTTCCTGATTATTTCCCAACCATCCCAATCTGAGACCTGAAAACATTACCTAGGTTTGTTGGGAGAGGGAGAAAAGGCAGAATGTGGTGTTCAGATTCTGCCTGGAAAAGTCCGTATGTGCATCTCTTTCCTGGGAAGAGGAAAGCAAGCTACTTTCCTGGGACTGAGAGTCAGCTAGTCAGATCTGCAAACTGAGGAACGTGGAAATTAAAAATGGTTTGTGGGGTTGAGCACACCGTTGAGAAAGCAGAGCTCGGATTTGTTCCAGAATTAGGCAGACAGTCCTATGCCAGCTGGAGGTTTTTTACTATGTTTTTCTCTAGGCCTCAGATTCTATCTGCCTTAATCCGTGCCCAAATCCTGCCCTGCACAGAGGGATGGCACGTGGCATCGTGTTGAACCTCCACATCAGGAGAAATTTCAGATAGCGAAATGGTTCACTGTAAGCTTTCCACGTTAGTCAAAGAACAAACGTCTCTCTTTTTCTCCCTTCTTTGTCAGGCAGTCTTTGCAAAAACAAATGTCAAGTACAGTCTGTAAAGACTTGTGATCCAGGCATTCATTGCATGTATTGAGAGTCTGTCTGTCATCGTGCGTGGTCTAATATGCATGACGCGGTTGCGTCTCCATCTGCTGAACTAAGCATTTGTTCGAAAGATGGCAACCAAAGCTAGATGTTGATGATGCTCATATTGCTGTGAATTGAAGACAGTTCCTGAATTGATCCATCCCATCTTTATAGCTAGAAGGAACTTGAAATGTGAAAATTGAAATTTAGCATTTCCTGTAAAGATCTTTGTCTGCCAAGAGTGGTATTTCTTTCCCCTTCCCCCGCCTGCATTGGAGGGACGCCCAGCCTGACACCCCGTTTGCCTCTCCACGGGTCAGGAGGCGGCTGCGTGCTGTGGTCCTTCCTATCGCGCCTGCGTCCGGGGGGCTGCATATGGGAGCATGGGCAAGGCAGCAGAGCCGATCCTGCCTTGGGTGAGGAAAGGATGAAATCTCTGCCAGCCCTTACGTCCCGTAATCAGTGCGTAAAGGAGCATGATGCTGCTCTTGGACCAGCAGCCCTTACACGCTGTATTCTAGGCTGCTGCTTATTTAAACCCTGTTGATTGCAGTTCTTTATGATCATGTCAAAGGCCTCTGAAAGCTTCGGCGGAGCCTGATACCGCAGTATCCTCTGCGCACGCACCGCATGGGGCTGCTGCTGCTTTCGTGAACTTGTCCCTTTCTTTTGTGGCAGCATCTCTGTTTTGGGAATGAGGAGCGAGAGGTGACGATACGAAGCAGCTCTTCCAGCACCACGCAAATTGTCTGTGACAGAGCTGGGAAAACTGACTGCGAACTGCCGCGCCCCGGCCCAGGGCTGCCAGGCTAGGGCTGCCAGCCCCGCCTCCCTCCTCCGACA